TCGTACCAGCCCTTTGCCCCCTGCCCACATCCGTTGGCCTTGGGCCGCCGGTCCTGGTGGTCCCCCCCACCCCACCCAGGGCCTGGGCTCTTACCTTGCCTTTCCTATGAAGTGAGCGCATAGCTCCTGCCTCAACGTAATGTGTTCTTGTGGAGCTGCGTCTGGGTTGATGATGAGATCAAGCCCCCCTTCACCCCATGCGATTTTCAAAACAGGAACAAGTAACTTGAAGGATACTGGATTATCTTAAAATATCTTAAAAGGCAAGAGCAATCACTGCTTAAACCACTGTTACCTCTTATCATTGTCCCTTTTGCAGACTTTCCTTCTCTTTCCTTCAGTAGGAAAATCGTATAAGGGGACTGCCAATGAGCCGGAAGAGTAGTGAGGGACGAGGGAGCTGAAAGCTCTTGTAGGCCCAGCTTTGACAGGTCCAACCGTTCAAGAGTCCTCCTTCTAGGTTTGAAAAGCCTCAGCAAGTCCAGCCCCATAGCACACCCCATCAGGTTGGGGGGCACTTGTATGGAGAAACTCACCATTTGTGTTTTTCTTTGTGGAATGCAGTGTAGTCCCATAAGAAAACAGGAGAGGCAGTTCACAGCCTGGAAGCCAGTGTGGGGAACAGAACACTCCAGTGCAGGATGCCCAAGTCTGCCCATCGTTCTCACCAGTTAGGGTTTTGAGAAGTTAGAGGCGGCTTTTTCACAATGTTATGTACTGAGTGTATGGCTGTGTGGCCTGGCATATCACTTTTTAAGTTGCATGTAAACTGGCTACTATGAGTGTTTTCAAATAAATATTTTGGAGCCTCTAATTCTCAGAGGCTAACAAAATCGTGTATTCTAATGAGGGTTACCTATGCTGTGAAGTCTTTGCTTAGTAAAAACGGTGAAGATACAAAGACATGCCTGCAATTTCCAACATGATGTTTTCAGAAGAGGAAAATTACTACATTTGATCCTTTTTAGATCTGTTGGTATGACAAATCCAACCATTCACTCTGTGGTTATTAAATCTTTAAAATGAGTATGTTTTTCATCCTTAAGTAAATGTTATCGAAATTTAAAAAAAGGAAAGAAAACTAGGACCCTGGATGTTGTATGGATAATAATGTCTTAGCTTTGACTGGTCAGCATTCTATGACATTAATTTTTAAAAAATTTTTAGGTTTTTATTCATTTTTTGAGAGACAGAGTGCAAGCAGGGAAGGGGTAGAGAGGGATGAAGATACAGAATCTGAAGCAGGCTCCAGGCTCTGAGCTGTCAGCAGAGCCTGATGGGGGGCTCGAACTCCCGAACCATGAAATCATGACCTGAGCCAAAGTCGGCTGCTTAACCGACTGAGCCACCCTGGTGGCCCTGTGACATTAATTTTAAAGCCACTCAAGAAAAAGTGAAAATGTTCTGAGGTAAAATTCACATTTTCCTTTCGTACCCATCACATGAGCTAAAAAGGCGGGGGGTGGGGGGGGGTCTGTGTCTATAGGCCAGGATGATCCCTGAACCTATCTTTGAGAGAGCTTAGCCCATGAGAGATTGACATTGAAGGTAATTTTCTGTAATGTCTCTCTGGAAAAACTTTGAAAAGCTGGTAAAAAAATTGTTTCACTGGAAGAAGGTCCCATTTCATCTGTATGGTAAACATATCAGACTGGAAGAGAGTGTCCCAGTAGTAAGCCGTGAATTTAGATCGGATTAAAACTGTGAATACATTTATGGGAACTTTTTCTTCTCTAATTTCTAAAGGTTAGAAATTAAGGCATGAGAGCAGTCAGATTGGACCAAAAATTTTTAGTGAATAAGATAAACACACTTTGAAGTGAAGAAAGTTATAAACTTCAAGATGTAGAGAAACAGCAGAGTGTAAAAATATGAGGGACATTTGCTGCATAGCTTTTTTTCTGAGACAGAACACCTTTAGGTACTGGGCTAGTTCCTCCTGAATATCATAAATTCAGAACTATGTTGATATGTTACTGCCTTTTAAAAACACTTAAATACCACAGGAAACGTGCTGAAGAAGTTAAAACTTGACAGGCTAAAAAGGTTCAACATTTTCAGTGGAAAAAGAAAGATGCATTCATTTTTATCACAATCCTAATCCGGGCACAGGAGGTGGCCACAGGTGCTGGGGGCAGCATGCGCTCACTGCGAAGCTGGGTCAGGGGAGGTTTGGTAAGATAGTAGCTGTAAGGGTCACGGTAGCTGTGTTCTAGAATGACGAGGAAGACTAAGGAAGACCAGAAATGAAGTTACGTGTTTCATTTTAGAGAACTGGCATATAATAACGTAGTGGAATTACATGAACTTCTCTCTGCTCCCTCCTTCCCCCGACCCCTGGGTCTACCCATAATGCCAGTAGGAACGCACTACATTTTGAAACCATCTCAGATTTAATCAATGGAGTTATTTCACTGCTCTTGTACCATTAGTGACGTGTTTACTGGAGTCCACCAGTGTGCCTTTCAAGTAAGAGAAATCACATGTATTCTTGACTATTTGTGTGCAGATGTCTAAGTGTAGCTCTAGTGTTTAAAATCTCAGGGTTAGGCAATGAAATGGAAACACATGTGCGTTTTGCACATGAGCTTTCCCAGCCCAGGCGACGGCTCAGATTTCTGTCACGAACTTACCGGGTGTAGACATGAGTGTAGATGACGAAGAGTGGTAGTATCTTTGTCTTCTGTCCCTTTCGCACTTCTCTGCTCTTAAAGGGCCTAAAGGCAAGTGAATGGAAAACAGTCGCCAAAGGACAGTATAAAAAGAAACTGGCCTCTAGGTGGTGCTTGAAAGCAGTTCAGGGAAGGCTGGTCTCTGCAGGGTGGAGTATGGGCTGAGCCTCAGTAACCTGCCAGCTCCTGGCCAGAGTCTCCCGCACACTGCCGTCCCCTGTTCCAGTCTCTCCAGGTGGCTCACTGGGCCACTCCTAGTACATTTCTTTCTTTCGCCTATTTCTAGGCCTCTAAGTTTGTATTCTATTTATGTGTATAAATCATCACTGTTAGTCACAGTTGTCAAACTCGAGGGGGACAGTACACCTACCCCAAGTGCTTTTTCCGATCCTAAATCACTGTGCCATGACGCCGTACTCTGAAACATATGCCTGCTTCTTTCACGGCTCCTATTTGCCCAGGCTGGTCTTGCCCAGCTGGAGCAGGCTGGACCTGCGGGGGCTAGGCTTGGCTTACCTGCAGGCCGAGTATTTCCTAAAGGGATGGCTTATCCTGATTTTGGATGAAGTTTTTAAAAACGTATCACAGCTGCTACATTTGATATCAGATACTAATCTTTAATTCCTGTTAAAACATTTGCCATCAATAAAAGCAAAGACATGCCCCTGTCCTGCCCCCTGTAAATCTTAAGAAAATGTGGGTAGATGCGTGAATTCATGTCAACAGCCTATTCATACACACACGCTGAGAAGGAAACCTCTAGCATAAAAATTTAAGAATCTGTAAATCCAGTCCTTTTAACATATACTTTTTTTTTATTAAATATGTAAAAAGATAAACGCAAGTCAAGTTATTCACATATTCAGAGACAAAAAAACTATTCTACCATGCGACAATAGGCGGGTAATGTAAAATGAATGAGATACATCTGAATAAGACTTTTTCATCTATTATGTCATTACTTATCTATATTTATAATTAACAATACATATGTTTACATTCCTTTCAGTTTACATTTAATATATAACAAAAGCTTTATGGTGTACTATTTAGTAAAAGTAATCTGAATGCATATTAAACCTTAACGGAATAATGGAAATACTCACCAGGGAAGGGAGGAGTTCTTGGTTCCCTTCTGGAGTTTACTTCTCTCTGGTCAACAAGGTGTTTGTCTTTTCTTTTTCTGCTTCTCTGCTTAGGAAGAAGATGGGCTCGCTCTCTCTGCCCCCTGCTTCAATCACTTCCTATCTGACATGAGCAGCGGAAGTGCTATAACTAGCCACAGGCGTGTGACTAAGAACGATGTCCGGCTTCCAAGAAAGAGGGGGAGCACACGAAGGGGGTACTTCTCAGCCCAGCGTGAGGATGTGCGATGGGTGCGGGGCCGTGGTGTAAAGTATACTGCCCTGGATGCCGAGATGGGAGAATGATGGGGTACAGTCCTCGGGGAGGAAGGAACAGCCCTGGTAAAGGGAGACATGGTCTGCACAGAAGCAGGGGTGCAGCCAAAGAAGACGGAGAGAGCTAGCTGTTAAAGATTTCCCAAAGCTTCCGTGATGTCACATGCCGTTCGGCACAATGGAAGAGGTTTCAGATGGAGACAGAAAGAGGAACTTGTAGCTCTTTTCTAAATCAATGAAGAGTTGGCTCCAAGACTCTCTGATGGAGAATCAAGTATGGCCCCTGGGAAAGGGGAGGGTATCGGACCAGTATGTTTTTCCAGCTGAGAAGGCTGGGGCTTTGGGGACAGAGTGGTGGTCACTGGTGAGGCTGAGGCCAGTTGCACAGTGATCACACAATCACCCCCCATGACAGGAATCTGGGTCACAATCCCCCTGGCACTGGGTATTACTGAGATGTCCAGGGCAGGCAATGCACTCCCTAAGGCCCACTGGAGTACCCTCTGCAGGGAATCACTTATTGTGCCGCTTTATAAGAGCTATTTTCTGACAAGGAAACTCAGGACAAAGGGCTGGGAGGGGCCACACAGTTAAGCATGATGCCGCGTATAGCACAACCACTACCTGTAACCAGGTGTGGGAGGGATGTCACTGCTGAGAGCCAGGCTTTGCAGCCTGAGAGAAATGAGCTGCCACCATTGTGCAGAGCAAGCAGGAGAGAGAAGAAAGGGAAACCGAATACCACAGAACATCTGTCCAATTCTGCACAGTGTGTTGTAATAACCTCAAAAATACAAGCAATCTCTTTCACATGTAACTCAGATACCACTTTGCTGCAAAAGATTTTGAGAAGACTTCTTTTGGTGGAAAGCTTCAATGGTGGAATTTAGAATTAGTAGTTCATCAATTAATAAAGAAATGTCAAAGCTTTATGATACATAATTCAGAAATTTATTTTAAGCTTTTCAGTTAAGAGGCAAATGGGGTGGGCACACTTGTTTTTGTTGCACCTGCTAAGTCAAATAACAAGTGAAGTAAATCTGAATTTAGAAACCAAGTGAAATGAATGTTCCAGGAAGGGATACCATCTGTCAAAGGAATAAAAGAGGCAAAGATTTGGAAAGATACTAAGAAAATGTGCAAATATTAGTTAAAAAAATAAGGAATGCTTTTAATTCATTAATGTTTCCTCTCTTTATGAATTGCCACGGTTATCAAAGGTCAATGACAAAGAGGGCCATAGTATTAATGAGGGGAAATTCCTTATTTCAGAAGGTGCTGGGAGTCCTAGAGCTTTTGTGTTGTCATTCCAGTGTCAACACCAGACTTGGGAAGCAGGCGTCTCCCTTGGAATGACGTTCCTAGGAAGAAGGTCTCCACTTCCGGCGAGTGTGCAGCATGCTGCAGACCCTGCGGCTCGGGCCGCACACCCTCAGCTCGTTCTGTAAGAGCCGCCCCCTAGTGTGGAGGACAGGCTTGGGGTGGAGCACCGGGACCTCCGCAGACCCCCTCTGGACTGGAGCTGACTGATGACAGCTTACGGGGAGAGGGGCTGCCCAGCAAAGAGGACCCTGAGAAAGAAAATAGCACGAGAACCTGGGTAGGGGAGGGAGGGGCGAGCAGTCGGAGGGCTAAGTTGAGATGGTGTTGTCCTTGAGTGAATGTCTTTCAAAACATGTGTGGTTGTCTAACATGCTCAGGGAGAAACACTGGGCCCTGAAGTCCTAGTTTTGATTCCATCTTTTTTCTTCCCTTTAGTGTTGGGAATAGAGGGAGAAACTGGTTTTCCCTATAAAACAAGTCACTGTCCTTATGGCTTTCATATCAAGTATCTCTTTCCCTTTGCTCCAATTTATTATTTGACCAAATTTATGTTCAGAGGTTAGACTTGCAAACATCAAAGCACCACGAATGTGTGACATCTAGTGACACTGGGCTGAGAAATGCCAATATAAATACCATATATCAAATTACCATTGTTTCACACCAGGATAAAAAGGGGGTGTTGGTGGTGGGGGAGGGGAGAGTTGTTCTGGAAAGAAATGAAAAGAGCAGAATCAATCTCAAGCAGCCAAGTGAAGTAGAAGATGTGTGACCCCATGATCTCTCAGGTGGGCCGCCACGCGGCCGGCTGCTAACGGGTCTTGGCAAAGGAAACGGGAACCGAGTGCGGTGGCTGGCGAATGCAACAGTGCGTTGGTGTTAACGGCAGACTGGGAACGACTGGTTTCTGCTGAGCTTGAGGCCACACGTTTCTCCAGAAGAAAAGTTCCCACGCAGAGTTGAAGTTGAGAGGTGCCAGGACGCTCAGTACTCTTCCTGCTGCGGCGGCTGCTGGTCGTGGACTTGTTCCTCTGCCTCCGGCTCGTCTGGGTGGCCCTCCTGCAGCACAGGAGAGATGTTTCGGCGGGAAGGATGCGCGTGTGGGAGGCCCCGCAGGGTCCACAGCCCCAGGCCCCGGACAGCACGGCAGCTGCAGGCTGGAGGGAGCGTGGGCCACACCTGGCCCCCTAAGTGCTTCCACCCTCCCAGGAGCCAATGCGCGCACCAGACACCTGTGCTTTCCTGCTCAACGGACGGGCCATTCGAGAACACACTTGTCGGGGTCTATGCACCAAACATTCCTTCTGTTTTGGAAAACACTCTTCATAGAGCACGTTTTGTACTCTCCTACCCTTGGGAAAGAGCAGCCAAGGTACTGCCTCAAAAGCACCTGACAACCACGAGGGAACCCGTGTGAGACAGCACAGGGCCCCAGGCCACCGCCGTGTGTCCGGGTGCTAACCCGCGCTGATGCCTGCCCTGCCCAAGTAGCACGTCTGCCTGAAACCGGCCCTGCGTTCCGATCCGCACTGCTGCCCAGCCCCAGCTCGCTCCAGCGGTAAGGTGAGGCGAGGATGACACACGGGTTTGGGGGCCTCTCCGCCAGAGGCGCGCGGCAGCTGGAGCTCAAGGCCTCCGCTCTGGGTACGTGAGGCCTTTGTGCGTCCCCCATGGACCCCCACTCCAGGCAGGGATCACTGACCCGAGTCAGCTGACCTCACAAACAACAAGCTGCTCTTTTTATTACCCAAGGAGAGGGAGCGTGGCCCATCAGTACGGCCGTGGCTCCCTCAGGAAGGCACTCAGGGACCCGGAGCCGTGCTTCTGGCCCCTCACAGCAGGCACATGCACTCCTTTCTCAGCTGGAGGACCCCCCCCACCCCCCCGCCCACTGCTTAGGACAAGCCAGTCCCCCTGCCCAAGGTCCATCTTCTCCCTCGAGCCGCAGTTCTTTCTCTCCCTCGTCCTGTAGCACATTGTTTCCTGCTTGGCTATAAAACCTGGGCTTGTAATCTTGTTTCCACACTGTGGCCTCAGCCACTGGGCCTGAGGTTACTCAAGGCACGGATAGGGCCTCATCTGTCTGTGTCCTACCTCACTTATTTCAGACCTCCATGCAGGCTGTGTTGAGAGGAAGAAATCCCCAAGGACAGAACAACAGATGATTTGAGACTTTCAGCCAAGGCCCCATGCTGCGTATTTTCTCAGAGACAGTAAAATGTCAAGGTTCTAAACACAGACTGTGGAGTTCATGTCCGGGTTCTGCTCTTTACCATCTGGGTGACTCTGGGCATGTAATGTAACTGTCCCATGCCTCAGTTTTCTCATCTGTAAAATGGGGGATTATAACAGTTTTCTTTCAGATTCACTGATCAAGGAGTCAGTGGAGTCCCTGAATTCAGCAGAGTCAAAGCGTTAAGGTAGGTAGAGAATGGTGTTTAGTTCATAATACATACTTGTGTGAGCTGCAATTATCATCATCTTGGTGGGAGAACTCTCAAATGTATTCTAGAAGTGAACAATTTTTAAAAAGTCACCTTTTCTGCAACAGTATAAAGGGACATTGTATTGAAGACCCTGGTTCAAATTGAGCGCTGTCCCTTACTGGGTCCGTGTCAAGAGGCATGTTACTTAGTGACGGTTCGCTCTCTCCACGCCCAGGACCACACCCTATCACCAGCACCCACAGCCACCTGGCCGCTGAAGTGTGAAGGCCCAGCATCCTACTGTGCCTGCACAACGCTGTCCTCTGGCACAACCCCCCTCCCCCGGCACTGTGCCAACTTGTTCCCAGGCCCTCGTGGCAGCCGCCTGCTGCCCTCCATGCAACAGCGGGGTCCTCTCTGCTCCGAAAGCTTGTGACATTCTTGTGGGAGTAGGGGAGTAGCTGTTGTGTAGATAGCGTGAGAGGGGGAAAGTCACTGGCCTCTCCCAGGAAGGGTTCTCCCTCTCATCTAGGGGCAAAAAAAGAAAGCTAGTGGTCACAGGACTTTACCCAGAGCGGTGCCCTGGGAACTTGAGGTGACTGTCCTGCCGATGTTCCCTGCGGACGCCTCTTCTCCCTGCTTTACCCCAGAGCCAGTCACTCCTCTAAGCCACACATCCTTGTTCATGCTTCCCTCAGGCTACGCACTGCAGCCCCGAGTGTATGCATGTGTGTGCGCGCGCTCACTGGCTGGCTCCACAGCTGCCTCTCCGGCCGAGCGTCCACCCCCGCTGAGGGTTAGGGGTGTTAACTCACCCGTCATTCTAACTCTTCAATGCTAGTGTGGTGCCTTCATTTCACTCTGCTAGGAGTTCGGCAGGTCTCCAGGGTGCTTTTCTTACCTGTTTTGTGCACATTAGGCTGCAGGGAAGATCTCAAAGAGGAGGACCCATTTTACCTTTTATAGAAAATCTTATTTGCTCACATCACAGCTGAGAGTTACCCCAGGACTGAAAGTCAAAGCTTGGGTTCAAATACCTTGGGCCTGAAACAAGCTGTAGGACCAGGAACCTCTAAGATCAAACCTCACCCGTGGCCTCCCCTTTGTCCTTATCCAGCCAGGGTGCCCTGTGGTCTCCAGCCGGCCAAGGGCAGCTCCCTCAGTCATAGGACCCCATGGGGACGTCCTCCGCCTGCAGGAACTGCCAACCCCCGGCCCTTTGTACTGGGATAAAGAGCAAACCTCCCAGCTTACCAATGGATGGCTAATGCTAGGGGTGCAAGTTCAGGTGGTCTGAAAGGCTGCAGATGTATCTCTAATTCAGAGGCAGTGACACTGCATCTGAGTGCTCCCCACTCACACAGTACGGTGTAGGCTCCCAGGAAAAAACAAGATCTTTTTCTCACACACCATAGTACAAAGAACAACTTAAATGCGCACGTAAGCAGGAGGCCGGACAAAACCAAAGCCCGATATGTGACTAATGCCCTAGAGTGCCACCTGCTTATTTCTGATATTTGCATATCAGTCCATCACCTCTTTCTGGATATTTAGCTGTGAGTAATGTTAGAGCTCCTTATTCTTACGATAATCGTTAGAGAAGTTGGAAGACAGTACTGAAGAAGGCTCTTGCCTGCAACAGGAAGAAAATGGGGGCAACGGGCGCTGGAAGGGTCATCAAGAAGCGCTGATGGGCCCCTCCTTCCTAGATGTATGTGGTGGCGCTCTGCTGCCCCCACGCACCCCACGCACCCCAGCCACATCCGGCCAGTCTCTCCCCTCGGCTCTGTCCGTGCTGTTTTCTCTGCCTGAAAAATCTTCCCCCCGCCTCCGCCCCAGGACTGCTGATGTTCCTGGCCACTCCTCAAAGCCCACACAAATGTGCTCTTCTCTGTCAAGTCTTTGCCGTCTCCAGCCTGCCTTTCCGTGCTCTCCCCGCCCCCCGAGTTTACGTCTCTGTGATCACGTGTATCCTACTCTGGCAGTGGCACCCCTGTCTGCCTGCCTCACTAAGGCACTGGCTCTGCCCCCTTTCTGTACACCCAATGCCTCGTCCAGTGACAGAAACACAAGCTCTTCCCAAGAGATCTTGGTTCGGGGTGGTGGGGGGGATCATCAGGTCACTTAGCAGTGGCTTCTGTGACAGTGCCTCAGGAAATAAGTCACCTGTTTATTTCAGCAGGTGCAGCTCAGCTGACAGATGGACAAGGGAGCAGTTAACCAATGAATAAGTCGAGATACCTGTGACCCCTGAGGGAAAAGATCCTGAAAATGATAAAGAGAGGCACTGGAGAGAGGTCTGATGATCCGCTTTGGAGCCTGCCATGAGGTTTCTACAACTGTGCACTGAACCGCACCTGTTAACTTCTGTACACAAACTGCTCTCTGGATTTTACATCTTCCAAACATTTTATTCTAGGACTGACTCCAAGGATCAAAGACCAGCCACTATCAAATAAAGACTTAAAGAGGCCTGTCCAGCAAATATCTGCACCTGAAATGACCACATAGGGCTCACGTGTGTTTTCCTGAAGACCAGGCAGGACCACACTCAGAAGGCAAGAACTGTCACCTGCGCCAGCCCTCCTACCTGCTGCTGCCACCAGCATTCAGTGGCCCGCGTCGACTCTGAAACTGGAGTTCACCTGAGAGGGCTCCTGCACAAGGACTCCATCAGGGGGCATGATGTGGCTTGAGGTGACCATCGCAAGGGTTTTCTTCCTGCAGCCAGCGCAGGGCTGGGAAGATCTGACCCTGCATGCTGTCTTCCTCCCTCAGTGGGCACGGCCCTTCAGAGACGCAGTGCTGAGGGGACCGCACCGGATCTGGCCTCCCACAAGCTTGTGGGGAGAGAAACTCTAACTCCCGTAGTCTCTGACAGACGACCAAGTACTCTGGCGGGGCAGGCACGCTAGACAACAACCTGAGGTTCCTGTCGTCAGATCTGAAAATACGGAGAACCATATTTTGTGGAGCCATCACTGCCTCCGGGGCCTGGTCAGGCAGCTTCCCATGGCTCCAAGACCTATAGTCTGAGCCAAAGGTAACGGAGAAAGAAGCATAAAAAAATGAGGCAGGGCGGGGCAGGGAATGAAAAAAGTGGTGGAGAGGCTCAAACCTCACACTGGATCACTCGGATTTCAAATCTCACACGGAGTAAACATTTGTCTGGGACTGGGCTGGGACAAGTCACAAAGTACACCCTCCGGTGACTTGTTCCAGTGTGTTCAAGTGCTAATACACGCAACTCGACCACAGAGTTGTGGGAGCATCCCCAGGCCTCCTGGTCCTACAGAGTCAGACACTTTCACCAGCTTCAGCGCCGCCTAAGGAGGAGTTCGGGCCCCCACCCCACTCTTCTGCACCTTCCCCAGGGCAGCTCCGTCAGGCTCCCACACTTGCCTTGGGGCCGGGGCCCCTTGCTCCCTGCACGGGCAGACTTCGTCTCTATTTATCCCACCCCTTTCCTTCCTTGATTCTTGAGCTCTCTGGTCCTCTGCTGCTCCTCACGCCTGCTTTCCATCACCAGGATGGATCTACCTCCTGGGTACCCCCTCTTCTCCGCACACTCCCGAGTAGCAAAAGCCTGACAGCCAGCTCCTCCCCAGAGAGAAGACCTTCTAAAAGCATTTTTCAACTAAGGCTGTTGCACAGCACCGGTCTGTACCGGCAATGAATAACCAAGACAACCAGCTCTGAGATAAAAATTGTGGGCTTATGGGGACGAGAAAAACATCCAGACTAATTCCTCCTCTAACCATACTCTGGTCTGTCATGAAGAATCCTTACATACATTTTTATTGCTCATCTGCTCAGAGCTGCAAACCACTTGAAATCTGGCTGCAGGAACCTATTTTTCTCAATCAGTCCTCCTACTCTCCCCCTCCCACCCCCATCCACTCATCTTCTCCCGGATTAATTCACGAATGCACATCCCACAAGCAGGGGTCAACGGATCACAATGATGATGATGATGAAGACACTTATCCTCTGGGAACAGAAAACGCACACGAGTCGTCATAATTCTCAGGGATCCCAGGGCAGCACCCGAAGACACACTCACTACTGCACCTTGACCAAGAGCATCGCTTTAGAAGCCAAGAGCCAAGGGCTCTCCTCACACTTACGTGTTCATCCGAAGCATAGAGGACTTCCATTAGTCGCTGCACGAGGTCATCATTTTCCTGCCCATGCTCTTGACAGAGGAGCTCAATCTCTCTCAACTTGCCAAAGTAGAAATCTCTTTCCTTTTCCACACCTTCGAGGGCAAGTTTTAATGAATGTACCTGCAAGGGAGTAAGGATGGAAGGAAAATCCCCCCAAAATACAGTATAAGAAACGTGACCAACTATGGCTGCCTATAAAGACACGAAACATGCAAAAACAGATGTGCCCAAATGATTGACAGGCAGTAGAGCTTGAGCCTGGGCCACCACATCAACTTCGACAACATGCTAGTCATTCCCTCTGCCAACTGAGCGTTCATAACCACTGAGGGAGGGGCTGTTCCGCTCAAGACGGTTGCCTCCAGACCCTGAATGAGCTTTCCTCCTCTCCTAACACGGGCTAGAGCACATCCTTCTACCCTGTTCGTCCTCTGCAGGGAGGGGAGGCAGAGGAGAGGGGCTGGCATTGTGGTTACTGGAGACGTATTTTGAGGACCCTCCTTGCTTCATAACCATATTTTGTTGTGGATCCCTTCATAAATGTTCCTAAGCCACACTAGATAAAGTCTCTCCTGAGAAACTGGGTCTTAGCTACATGAGGAAAACTGGGCAAGACTGTAAGCCCGGTTCAGTGGATGTGTCTTCATTCCTCTGGTTCTAGCTTTGGGGACATCGCAGGAAATAGGGGGAAGATGAAGAGAAAGAAGCTTCATTCCCTCAGAATAAGAACCCTAATTCCCTTTTCCCTATGATGCTGGTTCCAGGACCTTCCAGGGCTGAATGCCCTCTCATGGTGATTACAGAGATGGTGCCAGGGAAGGAGCCCATAGGGAGGCAGTGTCACCTGGGCGAAGGAAAACCCACGGCGCCACACTCCTACAGGCACGGTAGCTACACACAGGCCTAAACCAGTGCCCTGTTCCTGCTTCCTGAGAATCCCCCTCCCACTTTTTTTTTTTTTTAAACCCCTTGTGCATTTATATTTACACAGGGAATATTTTTTTAGGAGGTAAATCTTTCCTTGTCTCAGTCAGGTGAAATCTTTTATTGTCTCTCATTCAGTGTATTAAAAAAATCACCCCAACAGTATTTCCAAAAATGACATCTGGAATGGAAAATTTTCTTCTCTGGTAATTCTAGACCTTTGCACATGTTACTTATCAAACCTCTACCAAACACATGCAGCGTTGGTTCCCTTCCTGCACACCCGGCAGAGGACTCAAGGATGTGGCCCCGGAGTCCACCTCACGGCCTCCTCACACCCTGCTCAAAAAGCAGCTTTCCCTAGCTTTCACTCCTATTTCTGATGATACTACAGTTGGAATATTAGTAAGAAATGAAGACAACCAGCAGCCTCAAGTCTAAGTAAAAGAAAACTTCCCTTTTTTTCTAGAAATCCATCCTTGTTTTACACCAAGCCAACCCCCATTCCAGACTTGGCCACAGAATTCCTGTGTAGCCTGCGTGGGTGCCAGTGGACAGATCTGTGGCAGTTTAGGAGTCTTGAGTTGGTCAGCTCTCCCTGGAGCAGGCAAGAAGGGGCTCTGGATGCCTTCTACCCATGGAAACTAGGTTTGTCTGCCTCTCCAGGGTGCTTTGGTCTGTACAGTGTGCAAAGAGCTGAGGCTTTTGTAGAAATATCCAGCCCAGGTTGGCCTTGGGTGGTATTCCAGGTGCACCTGGACAGGGTGGAAAATGGACAGGGGCCGAAGCGTATGAGGATAGCCGACCGGCAAAGGGGAGTCCGTGTTCACGGTCCCACTCATGAAGACTGATGCCACCCACGCCTTCATGTATCAAAGGAGAAGCCTAGGAGGTGGAGGGGATGCTGGGGATGGACCCTTGAGTAAGGCAAGAGGAAGAGACAAGAGGGGGACGTTCTCTTCTCCAATTCTGCCCTCCCTCAGCGTCTGCACACTGCACGTCCTTTGAGCCAGGCCGCCCCAGCCCAGCATCTGCCCAGGCCCACTGACGCCCACTCTCCAGCCCCCAGTGGTCCCTGAGCACAGTGGGGACTCCACCCCACTTCCTGTTTGCTAACCATAAACGGCCCCTAATTATTTTAGTTCCGTCTTTTTCTCCCCTCTGTCTTTTGATTCATTTCTATCACTGGAATTGTCTAGCACAGTGGTACTTTTATAGCGTGTCACGGGACACTGCCTGAATAGAGGCAGGAGGCCAAGTAAATGAGAATTCTTCAAGTTTATGGCACTCGTCACTTTCTCTATTACGACGGTAATTCACTCTCCAGCCTAGGCATTTCCTCATCCTAGAGTCCTGAGTCCCAACACAGCAGTGCCCCTGCGGCTACCCACCAGCTCCAGGGAGCTTCCCTGCAGGCTGCAAGGACAGAAGATGGAGGAGGCAATAATAGACAACCATGGAAATGGATCTGGGGTAAGTGTTCAGTAAATAGTTGAATGACTGCTCACAATTTGGGGTGTGTATGACCTTCCCTCTGAGGGACTGGAGAGGGGAGGAGGTGGCATACTCACGCCTCCTTGATGTAAATGCACCAGGGGACAGGCAGGGGAGTGCAGCCCTTTGTTAGTAATAAAGGGATTATAAGACCACTGGAAAGTTCCTTTCTCTTCTCCCTCTCCCCCTCTGGAGAGACATTTTGGATGGTAGGATGAGGTCTGGGTCCCTTGGGGAAGGGAGGCTCTTTGTGTAACTGGACAGCTAATGACTGTAGAGCCAGCTCCAAGGAGAGGCAGTGGTGGATCTGGTGACTAAGGCTGAAAGGGAGAGAGGGAGGAAGGGTCTCAAGGTTTCTTTGTGGTCATACTTTGGACTGGAAGCTTGGAGACCTGGGTCTGGTAGAGGCAGATGACAGGGAGAGAGAAATCATGAGATAATTAAGATATCAAAAGAACCTGGGTTCCTACGAGAAAAGGGTCATAAATCTAAAGCATTACAGACCCACGCCTGATGCTCTTTAGGTCTACTGTGATTTGCTCAGAGCCTTAGGCATGTGGCCCAAGGCTCATGATGTTGTCATACCTGCCTTTTATGTGAGAAAAACTCATTACTGGAAATACCATATGGGCTCAAACTGAGAATCAGCAGGTAATTAGAACATTCCAGAGTTTCTAAATCAAAGTCCTGCCCATTGGATGACTTAAAGTTTCACTATTTTCATTAAAGTGATCAGAATTGTAAAGAAACACCCTAACTAAGCAGCTGCCTGCTTTTAAACTATATTCTTGATTGCAAATATACAATTATCTCAAAAATGGTTTCCAGACTCTTTGCTGGCTCATCAGGTATCCGGTTAATCACTGGGAATGGCCCAGCCACTTGGCTGGGAACAGCCTAAGAACCTTGAATAAAAGGCTCCGCTCCCAGTGGTGGGAGTAGCCAGGATAAGAGACTCGGCAACCCAGGGTCAGAGCGGGTGGCAACTTCATTGGGCCTCATGCTACCAATCGTTTTATTCCCTTTAAGCTACATATAATCTTAGGCAAAATTAGCTCTTGTTAGGTAGAAAGCATACCTCAACTTGTTTACTGAAATTTTCAAAGGTAGTAGAGCTAGATTTACCGTAACCACGAAGAATATTAGACAGAAAGTTCCTAGACTTAAAACACAACCGTGGCCCTTTTGATTCCCCCAATATTGGGTTCAGTGGTTCTGTGGCATCAGACTTCTGCTGTCATGGCAAACGTTAGGTTCTCGCTTTCGTTCGCATGATCACCCACCCCGCACAACTGCTGAAAGCTCTAGGAGGGGAGGGTTACCTAGCTCACTACCATTATATTAGCACCAGGCACTGAGTCTGTCACACACAACAGGCTTATTAACAAATAGCGCCTGCAGGAAAGGAAGGAGGAAGAGAGACTAACCCTAGCTAAAGTCATGAATGCTATCCAGACTGGCCGGAAGTGGGCAGACAGGCCAGAGTCTGGCCTGGAGCTCTGGACATGCCCTGAGGAGGTGGAGGGGGACGCTGTCTATAAACCCGCATTTACCTGGGGTTGAGTCATCTGTCCCATATGTGCAGCTTTGAGATTTCTGACTAAGATCTTATATTCCTGATGGGCCAATGATTTCATCTGCCTGAACGATTCCTTTTATTCTTACTCCCTTGGAACCAGATTCCGTCCCCTGCCCTCCCTTATCTCAGACCTGCAGGTGTCTGGTCCCTCCCCTCTCAGAGACAGGGCCAGGGCTGAGGAGTTACCTGCTCATTAAGCTGTATGACCTGTGTTTCTAAATCTTTATCAGATTTGGATGCTGAGCTGCTGGACGAAGCCCTTTTGGCTGATGAGGGACGAGAAGGTGTAGATCCTGGCTTAGATGCCGGACTTGATTTAGCTGCGCCTGAAAGTAACCAGAATAGATTATAAATATGGGCAACATTAGGGATGCTTTTTAGATATATTGCAAATGTATAAAGGAGTTTACTAGGAAGTATAAAAGCTACTCCCAATGACCCTTTCCGATTCCAAAAGTAGCCTACCTACACTTAGAATAAGCGCACACAATGAAAGGACAGTGTCATCTTCTACAACTTCTTTAACCTCTGAGTACTCCACCCCTTCAAGTTAATAGAAGATTAAGCTGTCCTTTGATACTAAGAGATTTTAAGATTTTTTAAAAGAGGAACAGTTCTGAGATAACCTCAAAGCATCACCAGAGTTGAGTTTCTGACAAACAACAAAAAAGAGTTTGAATGCTTTAGAAAAAAAATACAAAGCTAGTAAAGGGTTTTCTCTCTCTCGTTTCCCAGGTTATTAGCCACCGAAAGCACCCGGGGGCAATGACATCTTCGAAGCAGCATGCGTTCCTGGTGCCAATGAACTGGTGTGTAAGTTTTATTCTAAAGGAGGAACTTCTTGAGAGATGGCAGATGCCGGGGTGGGGCAGGCAAAGTACGGCGTGAGCCTGGGACACCTTCTTGTGTTGAAACGCAAGGATGTGCTCAAGGACTAAGGTCAAGGGGAACAGGGGCAGGTTTGAAGATGCTTCCAGCTAGCCACAGCTGGGACAGTTTACATATCAAAAGAGGAATGGCTCTCACGTGCTACAACACACTGGATAAATAAAAATCCAGTCTATAATGACAGGGGAAGGAGCGAGGGTATGAAGATCTTTATAGAACAGAGACAGCTAGTAAATCTAGAAGAAATGTTAGAACTTAAAAAATCATGATGTTACAACAAACATAACTGATCCAGGAAAGGTTCACTGAGGGACTCTAAAACGCTAAGTGGGAAGTTTGGAGGTTAACAGATATTCACGGGTGTCAAGATAGCAGCCTAGGATTTATTTACTACAATGGAAGAAAGATCTACCTTTACAGTGGGGGCTCAGCATCTTAAGTGATTAAATAGCATCGCTAATGATGACAGAAACTAGGGGAAGGAAGGTCATTAATGTCAGGTAAGAGCTCACCCATCAGAGGCTCAGCTTCTAATAGGTGCTCACAATCTAGAACATGACACAGACACAGGGAATGGCTTCTGCAGTTAAAACAGAAGCCACAAGGTAGATGCGGTGAAGTTTACACACCACATGGATTAAGAAATTCAGGGTCATTACCAGGGGCCCACCCAGGCCTTCTACTCTGAACACAGTCTCGACCATGTGGCAGCTCAGGCTGGTGGAGAGGCTCCTCTTACATGTTTCCATCAGCCCAATTCCCCCCACATCCCGCACACTCCTCCTCCAGAAGGCTCCGGGGACACAGGGACCAGTGTTCACACCTTTGTAACCCCGGTACTTAGCACCATGCTGGGCTGAACCGATATTTCAGGAAGGTACAAATGTTGAAATAAATAGACGAACAAGTAAATACAGCTTGGTTATATGGTTTCTGGCCTCACGGTTTATCAGTACCAACAGATGAGAAACAGGCAGGGGGGTCATGAAGCCAAGTGTGCTGACAGCAGTTACAAGTTTCAAGGAATCTCCTAATTACAAGGTGGTGAACAGGAAGAATTCTGGTGCCTGGACACATCAGTTATGAACGTGAAGTCATTCACCCCCTCAGGAAGCACGGACAACATCATACCCTTTAAAACCCGTTACAAAGAAAAAAAGAATTTTCTTCTAAAAATACAGGGAAAGGCCTAATAGATTTTAAAATGAAAAATTAAGTTGGGGATATATTTTAAAATGAAAAATTAAGTTGGACAGGACTTAAAATAGTTTGAGTATCCAAAGGTAAATCTTGAGTGACCTGGGAACCTCGCCCATGCAGAAGACCTTCCCAAGGATTCTAGCATTCACAAATGCTCCATCTGTGATTCACATCAAGTTGCAAGGACCCTTCATGTCCGCAGGAGCCCACAGACACCACTCCTGGAACGCCACTTCCAGTCCCACTGGCCAGGCTCTGTACAGGCCGCGCCGGCAAGGTGGAGGAGACTGTGAGTAACAGCAGAGGACGCAGGGTGAGGAAACGCTGACCAGGCAAAGTGCCTCTGCTGAGGGTTGTCACCAGCCAGCCTGACTTGGGGGAAAAGCTTCTGAAAAATCAAGTTACTTCAGACCTTTTAACAAGCAATACGTCGTATTTTAATGTCCATCAAATCTAACAGAAAGCAGCATCCCTTATGTAGTAAATACAGGTTTATCCAGTGCCTACCATGAACCACGTCCCACTGGACATCTCTGCTCCCCAGGCGCTCACAGTCTCACCGAGTGACAGTGGTGTAGGAATGCCCAGCAGGGCCACACTCACCATTCCCGGGGACAAGGCAGCGTTCCCGACCACACGGTCACAGGGCGTGATTTGGGCTGTAACCCACCCCTCCCCAAACACTCCTCTTCCCCTCTGAGGGACTATGTGTAGCACCCTGCAGGTAGCGGCGTGGACGCTGCCGCTCTGGGAGGCCGCAGCACCTGTCCACTGTAAGAGCGCAGCCCTTTCTCCTGTTCCCCCACTCAAGTCCACAAGGTAGGGGTTGCATCTGTTTTGTTTACCACTTAATGTTCCCAAGGCCCATCTCCATGCCTGACCCAGAGGCCACAGGCAATAGAAGCCTGTTAAAACAACTCCATGGAGAAGGACCTATCCAGGGTAAACAAACTGGGGAGAGCTCAAGGAGCTGAAGCCAACGTCAATGTCACTGATGGCAAGAGCTGACAATACATGAAGGAAACCAAACCACACATCATTGGGTTCCCCCAGAGAGCTGGGACTTGGTTTTAAGATCATCTTCTGTTATCACCTGGGCCCTTTATAGATGGAACCAAAACAAAGTTCAAGTAGGGAAATGGAGTCAATAAGTGTTTAAGTCTGAGGAGGGAGGAGCATGCTAGTTTGTACCTTGCTGTCCAAGTCTGCCATGTTTATGCCTCTTCTGAAACAAACAGCACCCTGCAGAAGGGACTTCCCTCTATTGTGTGCCCCCTGCTACCCCCCAGGCACATCTCCCTATGCAGGGCAGCAGCTATGATGTGGCTCGTTGCAACAGCTGATCTACGTTCATCAGACACTCATTCTCACACCCTGCCCTATCTAGTCCCATGTAAACTTTAAAAGAAAAACAGAAGGAAGAGAAACCTGATTGCTCATAAAACAAAGCCACTACTAATTATGTTTTTAGGACATCATCAAATGCAGCCTGAGAAAAAAAACCTGAAGTGTTTGATATGAAGTAAAAGTGGAGGGGTCAGGGGCAAGCCAAAGCCCCCTAGCAAGATCAAGTTATCAGGGAAAAGAACTATAAATAAGCAGAGGAAGCTGGCTCGGGGAGGAACGGGGGGCTGCAGGAGACCCTACGTGGCTCCCGGGGGACAGGCCAGAGCTGCTGCAGTGACTGATGCTGTCCCGGCTACAGCTTCTTCTGCCTGTGGCTCACGGGTCCTGCACAGGTTGGCTGGAGCACAGAGCCCCTGTCTTTCACCTGATACACACTCATGCAACTTGTGGATCTCTAGAGATGGGAAAGATGAAAACAACGGGTATCAGACATGGCACCCTCTGCGGTGGGACAGGGCAGGATAGTGGAGAAGAGGGCATTTGGTCCACACTACAGCACTCATACTCGCTACAGAAGGAATCGCTTCCGCACTGCCCTGGACAGTCACTTACAGGCTGGACAAAGGAATGGAAAATAAATTTGAAAAACTGAGTTAACAGATGAAGTAATTAGTATTTGAAATTTAAAATGAGGGGTTTTGAAATTCTGATTAAGTTGCTTGGAAAAAATTGTTAACAAAGGGAAATAAATGTCTAATGAGGTGTAAGAGGGCAGCGCTAGTCAATTGTGCATTTATTTTTAAATGTTTATTTATACTGAGTGCATGCGCATGCGGGAGAGGAGCAGAGAGAGAGGGGGAGAGAGAGAATTCTAAACAGGTTCTGTGCTGTCAGCACCAGGGCCTGATGTGGGGCTTGATCCCATGAACCCTGAGATTGTGACCTGAACCGAAATCAAGAGTTGGATGCCTAACTGACTGAGCCACCCAGGTGCCCATCCATCAAGTGTACATTTATATAGCTTCTAAGGGATGAAGAAATTAAAGAACAGGAAGGCCATGCAGAACTTCTTAGTATCTTCAGAGCTTTAAAGTTTCAAAAAACTAGACAATTAAGCGTTAAACTAAAAGCTCATTCCTCAAAAGAATGTAAAGTGAGCTCTTTAAATCATCACAAGCTATAATCTGAAGTGGAAGTAATTTGCCCCTCACAGCTATTTTTCACATTGAGAAATACTAAATAGTAAAATTCATAAAAATAAAAATGAAGGCTTTTGTTCATTCTATTTAATGATTTCATGGTTTACTTTTTAGAACAGTAAACAATATCCTAAAGTATATGACACTCATTAGACAGTCAAGAACTCTATTTTTGTTTATTTGCTTTGAACATCTTGTTGTCTCCTTTCAAGCAAACATACTCCAAAGTGTACCCAGCTTCTGGGGTGCCAGATATTTTCTTCCATTTATCTGGGTTGCTAGAATAAGGATGCTCTTAGGAAATTATAATGATCAATGTCAGCAAATTTAACACTGATACATTACTTTTGTGTAAGTTACCATTTATATTCCAATTTTGTGAAACGACCCAATAATTGATAGCATCTAGTCCTGGTTCACATATCAGGGTCCTCAATAGTTGCCTTCCTGCTTCCTAGAACACACTCAGGGCCACGGCGACCTCGCTTTTGTGCCTTCCATGCCTCTGTGCTCAGTGATGCTTACATGAAAAATATTTACATAATGGCTTTTAAAGAGAGTGCAGCTCTTTCAGCTATAATGCAGATACATATTTTTTTTCCTCGCAGCCATCATTCCAAAAATTTTTTTGAAGCTGCGTTTGATGTCCTGAAAACATAATTAGTGGTAGCCTTGTTTTATAAGAATTGTTT